TGTTTGGGGTCGAGGCTGGTATAATGTTTGTTTTTTTTTGGGGGGGGTTCCTTATTATAATTAGAGTATAGTTTCCCCTGCAAAACCCTATTCTACGTATTAAGGACCCTACGTTAGGGTTCAAGGGCTTATTCTGGGAGTGTGGAAGTTTAGGGTGTAGGGTTTGGAGCATTTGGCACTTCGCGATATTTTTCAAATCAGGGCTCTACAACAACCAGCCCAGGAAAACCATGGCAGTGCGCTTACAGCACCCTAAGAACCCCTAAACTCTAAACTAGTCGCCATCCTGCAGCGACTGAGGTCCTGGCTGCTGAACCACACCACAGGCTAGTGTTCTGCTTTCATACCGATAAGTAAGCCGAAGGCACGTCCCAAAGGGTATAAGGGTTCCTGTATGGGCTCCTTTGAGGGTTTCTTCGGGGCTTCCCTTGAAAGCTACAAAAAAGGGCTCCTATATGGGGGATACTTTGCCAAATCGTGGTAGTACTTCCTACTATACAAACCCTACATTCCACTCTAAAGGTACCTAGGGCCCTTCGGGCAACGGCATGCCTCAACCCTAAATCTCAGGCAACAAGCTCAACGAGTTCCGCAACGAAGACATCAAAGCCCTGCCTCCTGGCGTGCAAGTATGCGAATCTAAGGTTTGGGAATTTCGGTTCCATGATCCAGGATTTACAATCGTTTTGCATGCTTTCTGGTTGCATGTGCGGGCTTGGTGGTCAAGTTATTGTATATCAAGAACTTGTATACTGTGTATATATATATATGTTTACATATATATATATATATACATATATATTTTTATATTTATTTATTTATTTATTTATTACAGACAGTGTGTATATAATGTATATATATATATATACACAGTATATATAGTATGTGCAGTATATATCGTATGTATATATAGTACTATATATATATATATATACACACACACGATCTCTATGTTATTGGGCGCTATGAGCCAAGCCCTGGGGCGTCAGTTGGTTTTGGCTTGAAGGTCTTTGCCTACATTTGGGGACCAGGTGTAGTGGAGCCAACGCCGGCAGGGCACCAAGTCCTTGGGTCTAAAAATTGCCCAAAAGCATTCCAGGGTATAGGCTTAAACTCAAGCCAAAACGTTAGAGTATGAGGCCACAGCGGTTTCCATCACAAACCTATACTTCAGAGATACTAGACCCGAGGCCATATAAGCCCTAAAGCCCAAATATCCAACCCCCCCTAAACCCTAAACCCTAAACCCCTCTAAAAACCCAAAGCCCTAAACCCTAAACCCCTAAAAGCGACACATTTTGCAGGTCCGAGCCGCTCACCATGACTACCATCGCTATCTACAGCCAGATCAGCGAAGGATCCCTGGGGATCCCGGTGCCCTTAGTGGGGGTTTCCGAAAATTGGGGGGACCCTAATATAGTGCCGTAAATAATAGGGTCCTTCTTTTGTTTTAAAGGACCCCCAAATCAGGTACCCCTTATTCTCGGAAACTCACAAATGGCTTAGTTAGAGTTGTTTAGGGCTTTGGGTTTAGATTTAGGGCTATTAAACCCTAAACCCTAAACCCTAAACCCTATTGGGTTCAGGGTCCAGAGTTTCTGTGAGGGTCCAAAGGACCCAATAGTTCGGTACTCGGGCTTGGGATAGCAATCCCAGCTCCGCTTAAAAAAACAGGATGCCTTTGCCATCATCCTTCTTCAGATAGGGTTTAGGGTTGTGGGCTTACGGAGATTGGAGGCTTTCTCATTCAGGGGTCTACAGTCGTCCGTGTATGTGCAGAACCCTCAGAGCAACCCTTGTACTTAGACCCCTTGCAAGAGAGGAACCTGAAAAGTAGACCTAAACCCTAAACTCTAAACCCTAAACCCTAAACCCTAAACTCTAAACCCTAAACCCTAAACCCTAAACTCTAAACCCTAAACCCTATCCTTTAAAGGAACCCTCAAAGGAGCCCAAAGTCTTAGAAACCCTAAACGCTCAGCTCAAAACCCCAAACCCTAAACACCAAACCGTAAACCCTAAACACTGAACCCCCAAACCCAAAACCCTCAATAACTAAGGCATTCCCCTTAAGGGCCCGAGTACCTAATTATCATGTACTCTCCAAAAATAGTAACCTCTCCAAATCAGGGTCCCTCTAGGGTTCCTTTTTAAAAGGGTCCCGTACCGTTTTGGGGGCCTAGAAATTCTAGAGAGACCACAATTCAGAGAACTACTACCTAGACTAGGAGCCCTACTACAATTTTAATGGGACCATAATATAGGGAACTACCCACATCACAACCCATTAGCTGCGCACCTCCGGCTCGGATGTTTCCTCGAGCAGGTCTTCACAGGAGTGGTAGGGGCCGACAGACACAAAGACCTTAAACCTAAACCCCTAAACCCCTAACCCCTAACCCCTAAGCCCTAAACCCTAAATAATGCCCGAAGTCAAAGATTGAAGGCAGTGTATTTAAAATGGCACTTGCTGACTTTAAGGGGCCGCGATCAACGCCCTCCTTGCCCTAAGCCCTAAACCCAAAGCCCTGAACCCGAAAACCCTCAACGTGAAACGGGACTAGCGGCAGGATTCCTCCCGACCCCGGAGAAGTGCCACTACCTCTTCAACCTCCGCGACATCGCCAAGAGCCTTCGTCGGATAGTTTTAGGGTTTAGGGGTTTAGGGGTTAAGGGGTTCAGGAGTTTAGGAGTTTAGGGGTTTAGGGGTTTAGGGGTTAGGGTTAAGGGATTAGGGATTAGGGTGTAGGGTCTACGGGTTTAGTTGTTTAGGGTTTACCCTTACGCTCCAAAGCCTGGCTTTCACACCCTCTACGCTTTAATCCCTAATAATCCTTAAACCCTAGAAATCCTAAACCCTATTCCTTAGTTCCTAACCCCTATGCCCTAAACCTCTAATTCCCTAACCCCTAAACCCCAAAATCCCTAAATCCTTAAACCAAAAACCCTAAATCCCTAAACCCTAAACCCCACACCTCAAAGTTCCTAAACCCTCAACCCTAAAATCCTAAACCCTAAATCCCTAATCCCGGCCTGCCCCAGAAATTCAATCCTCCAAGGATCTTCCAAGGCGTGTACCTGGCAGATTCCAAGGCGAAGTACTGCCCGGGAACACGATGTTTCGAGGTTTATAGGGTGCGATAGTTGATGATATGAATCCTGCATGACCTTAAGGACCCTAAAGCTGTGGGAATTATGGTATATTCCTTACTTTGGGTAATGCAGGATTTATATCATAAACCGTATGGGGTATATAAGTGTAATGAGTTCTATACGGGTTCATCACGACTTAGGGTCTATGGCCGGGCTGAAGAGCAGACAGTTTAGGGTTTAGGATTCGCCAATGATCAAGGGGCGAATGGAGGGACCGGACCCTTGGGGCCCTTGGGGTTATATAGGGGCTTTATGAGACTATATAAGGGGTATATAAGGGTTATATAGGGTATTTGGATTATTGGGGTCCTTCCTTTTGTCCTTTAAAATGATACGAGTGACCATGCTATTTGGGGCGGCGGCTGGCCTGGGGGATAGAGTGCCTCCCTAAACCCTAAACCCTAAGCCCTAAGGCACTCAAACAGCCTCACCTCCGATCCCGAAAACCACGGACGAAATGCAGCAACAACCCTTGATAGATACTTGCAATTCGAGCCCGGGAACACACTGACATCCCCAGGCAAGCCTATGAAACACGTCCGGGCCTTTACAAGCCCGATACAGCCTTGATGCCCCCTCACAAGATTACATGCGTACATACATATATATATATATATGTATATACATGCCCGAAGGGTCCAGTTACCCAAATAGTATATACTTTGGCCCCAAAGTGCTTGTATGGGCAGTACTGTAAGGCCAAAGTATATACTATTTGGGTACATGGATAGCCCTGAACATACAAGCGCATGCGTAGCCCCGAATGCCAAATCCTACACAATTGTAGCTAAGCTTACGAACCCACATGCAGATGATTGGATCCGCAGGCAAGGCGCGTACCCTAAAACATCCACACCCTGAACACCTAAACCCTAAATCCCTTGATCGCAGGCCTAAACCTAGTCCGTTTTAGGCACCACAGAAGCGTTGCCAGGTTCATGAGGAGAAAGAGCAGATCATTCGGCTCTGGTACCACGAGTGCTGCCGCGTCTTCATGGATCGACTCATCAACCACGAGGCACCAGGCTGTAGATGGCTACAGTATAGGGGTCGGAAGACTTAGCAATAATATTACATAGTATTCCCTTACAGTCCTTGTATACTATAAGACACTCCATAACCCTATTCGGATCATCAAGGCCTCTATACTCGTATGTGAGTTTAAGAGCGTGAGCCAGGATGAGAGGCAAACCGGAAATCCTGGGCAAACCCAAAAACCCTAACCTGTAGAGATTAGGGCTTCCCAGAGAGCCCAATACTCTTTAATTAAGGAATATACCTTAAACCACAATATAAAGGCCCCTATAATTTAAGGGATATTCCTTATTACTTAGGTGGTACCGCGCTCTCTGGGTTAGGGGTTTTCAGAATCCCAGTAGTCGTCGTGAATTAGGATCCCTTCACGTTTCCCTAATCGTCCAAGTGCGCACGCCCTTGTCATAAATATACATCTCCCTTAGACCCTAGACAGTAAAAACCCTTATCATAAATATTCATCTCCCTGAGACCCTAAACCCTAAACCTTAAACATTATGGCACCCTTATATAGGAACCCCGAATAGTTTATCAGGTCCTTTCCGACCCGCGGATGTCATGTGGGTCCTTGGGACCCTTAGAGTTAGCAGAGTTTAGGTTTACGGGTTTAGGGTTTAGGGCTTTAGGGGTTTTAGGGTTTTAGGGCTTTAGGGTTTAGGGTTTACGGGTTTAGGGGTTTAGGGGTTTAAGGTTTAGGGTGTAGGGGTTAAGGG